GTATGTATTTATATACATATATATGTATGTATTTATATACATATATACATACATATGTGTGTGTATATGTGCGTATATGTGTATATGTATGTATATATGTGTATGTGTGTAAATATATATATATACATATATTATGTGTGTGTGTGTGTGTGTGTGTGTGTATATATATATATATATATATATATATATATATATACCTTCTTTCCCCCAAAAGAGTAGTCCTATTAAACTATCTCATAAGGAAGTAAACTTTTCTAAACTAGTTCTTTTTTTTTAGTGCACGTTTTTTTTCTCTCTCTCATCAAGATTCTCTCCAAGGTCTCCTCATCCCCCTTTATTTATATAGCCCAGAATAGACACAAGAATCTAGTAAGGGTCAAGTCAGTGCTAATTTTAATAAAAGGGTGGGTTCACAACTCCCACACGCTATTATTCTACTGATCCATCTCATTATTGTGCTTGTGCTGCTAAGTAGAACCCTACATTAGGTGTTGAATACATGTATCCTGGCCTGTTTTGTGATAGCTTGTTTATACTCCTCTGTACTTGCCCTAAATGAATTTCACACTTTGTTAATTCCTAAACACTCTTTCAACCAAAAGTAGTTTTTCTCTAGGTCACCTTGAAGAGAAAGAAGGCATCTCAGAGCTAAGTTTAGCCTGAGGACCTGCAAAGTATGACATTGCCGCTGTGGGCCTTAGGATTGCACAACCACATAGTTATAGAATCCTAGAGCTGGAAGGATGCTAAGAAATTATTTCAACTAGTGATGACAGATAAGAAATAAAAGAAGCAGCCCTCGGCGGGGCATTTACCCCTTGGGAGTAGGGACTGTTTCATTCTTTGTCTTTAGATTCCCAACCTCTCACTTGATGGGTAATGACACAGATCAGGGAGAAGGGGGAGTGTCCAAGAAAATAAATGATAATTCATGGTCACATAACACAGTCAGGACTAGAATCCAGGTCTCCCAACTCTGGACTTAGTACTCTCCCCAGTATCCAGTATACCAAACTGTTTTGAACTATGTCATCTGTACATAAAGCAGGCATGTTCAAAATGTCAAAAAAAACAAAACAAAACACAAAAAGAGGAGTAAAATTAGGTCTTTACTCTCAAAATGAGCTTATGAGCTAGTTGAAGTGGTGGAGGGAATGGGGGGAGGAGAGAGACAATAAGTTCCTTGATCTGTGATATTTTTGTTTTACAAATTCTTGGAATAATTATAAATATTCTGGAAAACATAACTTTTTAATCTAATGGTAAAATTGGGAACCGTGTAGGGTGGGGAGAGGAGGCTAAACTAAAAAACAAACATTCCCAAATAACCCACCTTTTAAAAAAAATCTTTGCTTGACCTCATCATCGCCGTAACTTATTGTTCTACATCTCTTTTCATTTTCATAGCAAAATTCCTAAAAAAATTCACTTTCATTTGCTGAAGGCTTCTGAGTCTGCCAATTCACTTTCTTTCGGATTAACAACACTCTAAATTCAGTGACCTTTTCCCTCTTTTCTCAGCATCCCATTTGATGCCTCTGCAGCTTCTGACATTGTCTATCACTGCCTCCTCCCAGATCAGGGGTTCTTAACCTGGAGTCCCTGAACTTTTTTTTGTTTTTTGGTTTTTTTGTTTTGTTTTGTTTTTTCTTTTTTGTTTGTTTGTTTTTGACTAGGCAATGGGGGTTAAGTGACTTGCCCAGGGTCACATAGCTAGTAAGTGTTATGTGTCTGAGGTCAAATTTGAACTCACATCTTCCTGAATCCAGGGCCAGTGCTCTATCCACTGCGCCACCTAGCTGCCCCAACCCTGAACTTTTTTAAAAAAAACTCTGATCACTGAATTTCTACATAATTGGCCTCCTTTGTAATCCTATGTATTTTATTTTAAGCATTTGAAAACATTATTCCGAAAAGGTGCTGATGAGCTTCACCAGAATATCAATGGTATGTATGACATAAAGAAATGCAGATGCTTTCTTCTCCTTTGGTTTCAGTTATATTGCTTTAACCTGGAACTCTCTTTGCTTGTCTCTTTTTAAAACTCTTTTGCTGGATCATTATTCATTATCATCTCCATGCTATTCACTCTCAAAACTCCATAACTAGTGCTAAAGTGTTTTTTTTTTAACTGATTTCCAGTCCCATATACTGCTGGACATTTCTACCTAAAAGTACCATCATCATTTCAAAATCAACGTGACCAAAAGAGAACTCATTAACATCCCCTTAAACCCATTCCCCCTCAAAACTGCCCATTTTCTAAAGAGGGCATCACCTTTCTAGGCACCCAGATTCAAAGCCTCAGTGTCATCATCATCCTTAATGCTTTCCTCTTCATCTGCCACAATATTCAATCAACTGTCAAATATTTTCAATTTTATCTTCACAATATTTCTCTCTTCTGTCCCCTTCCATCATCCAGTTACTCAGCTACCAACCTAGTTCAAGTTCTCTTTACTTCTTGCCTGTATTACTTAAAAAGCTTCCTAGCAGGACTTTCAGCCTCTTATCTCACACCCTGCCATTCATTCTTCCACATGGCTGCCAAAATTAGCTCTGGTCATTTCTGGACAAAAAACCTTTCAATGACTCCCTCTAGGATAAAATGTAAACTCCTTAGCCTAGCATTTAAGGTCCTCCAAAATATGGCTTTAGTATTCCTTTCCAGACTCAGTTGATATTTTTTGCTGTTGTTGAGTCATTTCAATCATTTACCTCCTTTTAAACAGTTAATATTCTATGCAAACCAACATACTGGTTATTCCTCAAATTCCCAATTCTATCTCCCATCACCATGCCTTCACATAAATTGCTCCCAACACTTGGAAAGTACTCTCTTCTCTGCTTAGGTCCCACCTCCTATGCTTAGCCTTACCTGATGTCCTCCATTGTTAGTGTTCTCTCTCTTCTCAAAATACTTTACATTTAATTTATCTGATACAAGTCAGATGCTCTCAGCACAATGTAAGTTCCATGGATCCAGGGGATGTTGGTTCTTGTCTTTATATACCTAGTTTCCTGTATTTAACAGTCACTTAATAAATGTTTTATGTGTTCAATTGAAGAGACCAATTGTAATTAGCAAGGTATTAGCTGGATATTGTCATTGCTTTTTAAATATGACATTTGATTTTATTACTTGTGTGTATGGTAACAGAAATGAAAGGGCAATAAAGTATTACCAAGTAGACTTCTGGTTTGAAGTGCTTTAATGGTCATTTCAGATTATGTGCTATCATATGAGACTGTTTTCTTGGAAAACATTTTAAGTTGATTAAATAGCCCATTTGTTTAACAACAAGCATATCACCCCCTCATATAAATTTCTTCTCTATCTAAATTAACATGAATTCCAAATTAGTGGGGCCAGAATTAGTAAGATACTCTAAATTATTTTCTTCAAGAAAGAAAAGAAAGATGGGAAGTGCCAATACTTAATGCCCAAGGAAATGCGAGTGTTAATAACTAGCTACTTTTTACCAAAATCATTCAAGTCATTTGGGTACCCTTTAATGGATGAGAGTATGAAATGCCAATAGCTTCCTTATGTAAAATACTGTGATGAGTCTATATTTAAATATAAATGATATTCAGCTGAGGAGGGGGAAGGAACATTTAATTTTTGCATGAAATTTATAAGGAAAATTAGTAAGTAACCTTCCCTAGATTATGAATCTCATGAAAGAATGCTGGGTTGTTACTTTTTTTTTCTAACCTAAGATATATGGTTTTTTCCCCACAATTTCCTAAGCTTTATACTGAATAATGCATACAGTATTCTTAACCAGGTATCTGAATAGAAATAAAATTATGCTAAAAGCTTTATGACATGGATATATTATAATCCACACAACAAAATTATATTTCACATCCATTAAGTAGTCTTAATACTTACCAAAGAAGCCATGGTGAATCCAATGACTTCAATATAGCCATCATCATGGCGCTGAGGTTCAAAATCCAGGTGATCTCCTGGATTTCCCCAAGGCATTGTGCCTGCACAGTACCTGCAGGGTAAGAATGGAAATTATGGGAAACTTGATATAATAGATATCACCATCAAAACAAATGAAAAAAATAGTAAGAACAATATCTCCCTCTGGTCTCTGTTTCATTCCCTGAGGGTTTGTGGGTGGGGGTGAATATTCTTAGCAGGATTTTATTTTAAAAAATCAGACTGAGAAAACTGGTCTTATCCTTATCTTCTAAGGGGATTATGTTAGTCAATTCATTGTTGACCAAGTTTTCATTCTGTAACTCACCTACAGCTGTCTATGTGTACTATAACATTGGTAGGACTCAGAATGGATCCAGAATAGCATTAGTCTTTAGGGCAGGGATATGTGTATATGCTAGTGAAGATAGAAAGAAAAGCTGAAGGGTGGCACTATGAGAAGCATTTACTCCTTAACAGTAGGTACTTAATAAATTCTTAAATAAATAAATACACTGATGACTACTAAGATAATGAAGACATACAAGGGAAGAGGAACAGAATAAAGAGAAGAAAAGGAGCAGGGGGCAAGAAGAGAAAGGGAAAGAGGAACATCAAAAGAGGGAATAAAATGTAGAAGAACCTAAACAATCTTTTAAAATACCTAAGTCTCTGACTCCCTAGGCTAATGGCATAAATGACAATTCCAAGCCTAAGTACCCATAAAAGAAATTTAAGAGAGACCTTATAGGTTCTCCAAATACTGTTTCTATGAAACATACACTTCAGTTACACACTGCCTAAGCTGCCCACACTAAAAAAAGGAGTTTGGATATAAATTTGTTTAATTTGCAATTAACAAATGATATTGTGTTACTTTTTGAAATTTTAGATTCAGAAACTAGAAGTCCAGTATTTAACATTATTCTTGCCCTGATTTGTGGGGACGTAAGCTTAGGCTCTTAATTAGCTCCTCTGAAGTCTTCAGGCGGTAACAATGTGTTTCAGTGCTCACTGAGGGGGAAAAAAAAGACTATCTAATTCCTTTCCCCTACCATCTCCACAAAAATAACAAAAAAAAAATCCCAAAATAACAACAATAATAAAAATTGGTCAGGGAACCCATATGAATGGGTTGAAAATTCAAACCTAGACCATAGAGTTTCATGGTGTAATTGATGGAAATGGGAAATTTACAACACAGTTTCCTATGGTGTTCTTTCACTTAAAACAAAGAAACAAGTAACAAATGATCTAATGCAGCTATTCCTAAGGATGCGACTCTAGAGTGGTTTCCTACTCTGAAATGTGGTACTATGATTCAGTAAAGGGTTCACAAATGAGCATGGGGAGTCAAATGGAATAAACTGAGTTGAAAAGACTACAAACACAAAAAAAGGCATTTTTAAACCAAATCATCTGGCCTGGTACTGCATTCTCTTGAAATATACTATTGGAATTTATTCTCCCAAACTTATGTTCTAGAGGAGCTCATCATCTTCATTTTCAGGAGGGAGCAGTTATGCCAAACAGGTGAACTATCATCATGAATAAAAACTGGTCAAGGAAACTTCTCATATAAGATCTTAGATTTAGCACTGGAAGAGACCTTAGCAGCCATCTAGTCAACCTCCTCATCTTACAAATGAGTAATTAAGGCCCAGGAAGGTTAACTAACATACCCAAATCACACAAATAGTGAAAAGTAGAGCCAGTATTTGAAATTACATTTACTGACTCCAAACCCAGCACTCTTTCCATGATACCAATAAAACAGGTTTTAAGATATCATTATAATTTCCATCCAAGCAGCTCTGTTATTACAGGGGTAGGAGTAGAATGGCAAAAATGAGTTTCGTTTGTAATAAAAATATTTTATTTTGCAATTAGTGCTGGATGGAAGGACTCTATTTAAATGGTGTTTGTTGTTGTTGTTTTTTGGGAACCCTGCATTTAAAGCTAAATCAGGGTTTTAGGAAACAAAATAAATGTATCATTGTCTTTTTGTACATTTCTACCAAAAATGGTAGAGAACACTTGGTAGAAAACAGTGTCTGGTAGGGAAATAAAAAGGCACTGAGAGTCCAGGAGATTTGGCTTCTCATATTATTTCTGCTACAAACTCATGGCATAATCTTAAGATGATAATTGAACCTCTCTGTACTTCAATTATTGCATCTGACAAAAAGGATAACTCATGCCCCAGCTATTCCCAAGGGTTACTATTGAAACTAAAGTGACATAATAAATGTCCATGTGCTTTGAAAAACTATTAGGTACTAAACTAATACAAAATATTACTGAGTCCCCCGATTTCTCCTGTTTGAAAATAATACACGGTGTACTTCACTAGGGAAACCTAATATGGGAACAAAATGGTCAAGTCTAATGACTTTTTAATTATGGAAATAAATGATTCCTTTGTTCTATAACCGGAGGATTCCTGACATGAAAACAAAACAAAAAACAGTACACACTTACCTGGGTATATTTAAAAACACTATACATTGGAACTTCAGCTCCTGAATCTTTGGGGTGAGGTCTGTTCCATCACACTGCAACAACCAAAACAATAAAGGAAGTGCTTTGAAATAGCCTAAATATTGGGGTTGAAAACATATGCTACCCTATTCCCCTTCTTTCTGACCTTGTCCTTGAGGAACAAAAATACCAGCTATTCTAATGAATATGCGCTATGGTTCTAGCTGAACTAAAATTGAGAATGTTAATTTTTTAAATGCTCATTTCTACTACCAGAATTTCTACTACATTATCACCATTAGTTGTTCTTGTTATTGTTACCATAAAGATGATTACTGTTGTTTTTTAAAAAAAACTCGCATTTATGTAGCACTTTGCTGGTAGGGTAAATATTATAATCCCTGTTATACTGATAGGAAAACTGAAGTTCAGATAATAAAGTGTCACAGCTTGGACTTAAAGTTGGGTCTTCTGATCAGAAAATCAGGTTTCTTTCCATTATGTATACCTCATATCTCCTACCCCTACAGTTAGTTGCTCTCATATTTACCATGATCATATTTTATATGTTTCACTTTGCTATTCAGTTTCCAAGAGGTTTTCACCATTCAAAAGAATTGAATTTGTTATTAAGGTAAGCTATCTATAGGACTAGTGGTGCCTCCACATAGATACATAATTTAAAGAGTAGGCTTATGTCATGAACATACTTTATCTGAGATAGTGAGAAGCTTTACGGAACAACACCAGGATTTGATCTATGCTAGAGGCAAGTGGTACAAATGTCATTAGCTCTTCAAGTCTTCTCCAACTAGCTCAATCCTTTCAATTTTCATAGAACAAAGAAGCATGGTGGCAGGAGTTTGAAAACTGTTCCTCATCACAGTTTCACTCAAATTCCTTTTCTGTTTGAGGAAGTGGAATCCTTGGAATATTTTACCCAATCAGAGACATATGATAAGAGGTAAAAACTTAATGGGTTTCTGACCCTAAGTCAGATGAGAGTTGAATTGAAGAAGTCAGAGGAGATAATAGAGAAGAAAGGATAGAATAGATATAACCTTAGTCTGGGCTTCGACTACCTTTTGGTACAGCCAGACTGAGGGTTAGTGCTTCATAAACAAAGGCTGATAGAGCTACAGTTCTTACCTTTCAGAGTAAGATGTATTAACTACAGTATACCTTAGTATGTTGTAGCCAGAGTAGTAGATGGCCCCAAGAATAACACTTAAACTGAAAACTATAGCTGAAGCTCATAAGAGGGTGAAAGAGCTGGCTGAAACAACTGTAGCCTTTCTCTGCAGAAGACAGGCTTACAAACTACAACATCTCCAGTGGACCATGGCAATGAAGATAACCAAAGACCAGTTAGAATAGAGAGCACAGTGCTTGAAAGAGAGAAACAGAACTGGGATACCCAGCAGGAAACAAACCCAGCAGACAATAATTCTGTGAGATCACCAGAAGACATTGGCAACTCTACAGAATCAGAGGCAATAGTAGCCACCAAGTCAGAGGGCTTGTTGACTAAATATTTACCCATCCATCTCTGTGTCCTGGCCACAGATTTTCCCTATGTATGTATGCTCCACATGCAATCACTATGTCTGTTTACTCTTCTCACTGAGAGCAAAATATAGGATTAAGGGAGAGGGAAAGAGGTGATGTTAAGTAGATATTTCCAAACAATGCCAATTGGACTCCAGCTATCTTCCTCATCCTCCTTACTGGCAACTCTTAGAGCTGCTTGAAGCACTGATATATTAAGTGACCTATCCATGGTTAATAAGATAATATATATCAAAGATACAACTTGAATACAATTTCTCCTGATGCCAAGGCTAACTCTCTATTCACTAACAACATGCTACCTCTATACTGTATTTAAACATGAAAGAGTACAATTAAATGCCATATGTAAAAAGCAATATTTATAAACTTTTTATATAAAGGTAATTTGATAATATTTAGCTATTGTCAACTCTAACCTTAATTTTATCATCAGACCCTGATCAGTCCTTTGTAATTCATTCCACATTTCTTAATTTAGAGTCAAAATTCCTTGCCCATATGCATACAGAAATTTAGAGCTCTACAACACTAGGCCAATTTGGGACAGCAAATCTTTTTTCATCTACTAGATTTTTACCTCCTTTAATAAGAACATCCTTCTCTGATTACTGCTAACTAATCAAAAACTTTAATTTGTCTTTGCAGCTTTCCTTCCTCTTGCTTCTCTTCCCAACTTGCATCAAAAGTCAAATACATTACAGATACATTAATATAAGGAATCCTTACATCAGCCACATAAAATCTATATGATTGCCTTTCTTTAGTCTCTGGTTTTCTGTCCAGGTTATAATTGTGGAAAATGAATGAAACAGTATTTTATCCTTAGTTTTTGGGGTATGTGTATAAATCAGGAAGTGAGATAAAGAAAGAAACATAGAGAAAGGCAGGAAAGGAGAGAGTGGAAATTTTTTAACTTATCTAAAAGCAAAAAAAAACTTATGTGAGTTTTGAGAGAAAGAGTCTGTTAGAAGATATGGAACAAGAAAATCAGAATGGGACAAAAAGAAGATGTGCAACACCTAATGTCGACGTAACATTATTGGGCCATAAGAAACTAATAATACAAGGAATTCAGACAAACACGGGAAGACTTGTATGAACTAAAGAAGAGTGAAGGAGAACCAAGAGAACAACATACATAACAAACACCATTGTGCAAATTTAACACACACACACACACACACACCAAGTCATTGGAACTCTGATTAAATGCAATGATCAATATTGGCTGGAGAGGAGAGATAATGAAACACTTCCCTCTTTTCAATGGTCAGGTGGAAGGCTATGGGTGCTGAATATTTTATGTGCTGTCAGATAGGGTTACTGTCCCTTTGCTTTGCTTAAATTTGTTACTGTTGTTGTTAAAAAGTGTCCTAGCTGTTAAAAAGTGTCCTATGAAGAAGGGTTGTATATTACTCAGTGGCTATGGTATAAAGTACAAAAGGCAGCAATACAACTTTCAAAAATTATCCACTAAATGTGAAAGAAGAGGAAGGGCAATATGAAGAGAGCCAAAATATAAATTCTATAGTTAATCAAGCAAATCTGAATCTTAAATTACACTGTGAAAAGATGTATGTCCTGGACTGATGAAAGCAAGATGCAAAAAAGCCTAGCTTTAGCAGTAGCTCTCCATGATACAGTAGGATATTATCATATTACTGTTAAGTAGACGGCTAGCATGAAAAAATATATGTGCATTCTATTTGGCATGGCAGCATTTTGGGAGGTGGAACTTTGCCTTTCTATGCTATGTAAAAGAAGCTTTGCATGGTTCATTATGTGGATTGCTTTTTTCTTTTGAATTATGATAAAAGCTACAACTGTGACAAGATACTTGAGAAAGTCAAGGATCCGTCATTTTATCATGGAAGGTGCTCCCTCTCAATCACTTACAGTGGTAAATCCCTTTTGACTGATGCTATGAAGGAAAAGTTCACCATACTGCTGACAAGTCAGTGAATGGCCTCACTGAACTGGACATCAGACAACAATCATTCCGCCAGATAAATTCATAGATTTATACCTAAAGTCTTTACAACTTGAGAAGACCTACTAGAGTTTGCATTTCATAGGTATAACCTTTGAGAACCACCCAGGGTCACTTAGTCATCATGAAGATGCATGAATGGCATTACTGAAGGTTTCTGATCAAATAACCTGACATGAAACCTTCACCACTAACTCATGGGGTAAGCTTGGACAAGTAGCTTCACAGAATCACAGAATTGTTGGTACCAGAAGGCACCTCAGTGATTACCTTGTCCAGCCCCCTCATTTTACAGATGAGGATGCTGTGGCCCTAAGATTTTAAGTGGCCTGCCAAGGTCACCTTTCTGATCCTGAGTTTCTTTAGGGCAGGTAGGTGATACAATGGATAGAGCTTGAAGTCAGGAAGACCTGAGTTCAAATCCAGCCTCAGAAATTTACTAGCTGTGCAACTTTGAGCAAGTCACTTAACATCTGTTTGCCTCAGTTTCTTCATCTGTAAAATGGGGATGATAATCAAAGAGTTGTTGTTAAGGCTCAAATGAGAATAATTGTGAAGAGCTTAGCATAGTGTCTGGCACATAGTAAGCACCATATAAACGTTAGCTATTATCTGTATCCGTAACATGATGTGGGTGGACTAGATTAGCTCCTCAATTCCCTTCCAGCACTAGTATTCTTCAAGTCCAATTCTACATACATAGGTGGAGGTAATGTTTCACTTTATGAAACAGACCCACCCTTAGAGTAAGAAGGGACCGTTTTCCATGTTCTGTACTTACCACAACCTTGACATGTTTGGATAAATCCCTGGAGCTTCTCTGCAGGAAGTCAGAAAAGGCTGCCTGTACAACAAAGAAAGAAAAGTGAAAAAAAAATACACACATATATATATATGTGTGTGTGTGTGTGTGTGTATACACACATATAAATTAAATACATATGCATGTGTGTGTGTCACTAAGTAAATCACTAACACCATCTCCAGCTCTGTGACTTAATATTCATTTCACGTTTCTTGTAGTATTCACGAATATGAAGTCATCTTTTGTAACACCTGTACAAAGTTGCTTATTAGCTTTAAATGGGTACGTTTGTCTTTGGGACTATAAACAATAAACATGAATGGCACTAGCTAAGGTCAAATTACCAAGTTTTCCTTCTATTAGGACTAAAGACAGCCAAAAGAAGAAAGGAAGTGAATAGACCTCCATATTTTGCAAATTTCAAGGACTTACTCTAAATTCACTTACATAATATTTTGTTGTTGTTGTTGTTGTTCCCTGGCCTTCTCACCTCTCTGTTGTTGGGAAAATAATATATATTTTGTCCCTATTACTCAGGTCCTAATTTTCCTATCTAATGATGTAAGTTTAAGTTCCAGGCTCCCCAAAATATAATCCCAGAATTTTTTCCTTCTCTCTTCAATCTCCCTTCCCTGCCCCCCCTCACCACAGCTCTTAGGGGAAGGGACCTGGGAATCTTAAGGCACACTTATAACTCCATATAAGACTCTGAAGATCCCATTTATTCCTGACTCAACTGTGATTTCCCCATTTCAGCACATAAGACTCACTAATCAGTTAATCCACCTCAAGAACACTTTATTCAGAAACCCTGTGGACAGATCCCTGAGCTAACAGCAGATTACATTAGTTCAGCCTTTACTTAAATCTCCCTCTTTCCCTCCCAGCCATGTCCCCATCTACTGCTTCACACCACCTATCCTGTCTCTCAGATCCCTCCTCAAACCTCTCCTCTGAAGCTATTCCAAAGCCAACATAGGGCTTTCAAAGGCTTTAAAACTTAAAAGGAGGAAAAAAGTGAAAAAAACAACAAATAGGACTAGTCCTGTCTCCACCTACCTAGCTAAAGATGTATTCCCCAGCCTTTTATTCCCAGACCAAAAAGATGCACTTTGATATTCGTAAGGAACTCAGCTTTCTCGTTGAGGACGCTGTCACCAGCACAGACAACAACATTTCCACTCACTTTCATCCTGCATTATTCTTGACTACACTTTTTCATAGCAGATGCAGTCAGTGTGGATCTAAGTGTCATTTGGTGTTGATGATATTGTCAATGCACTGGAGGCTTTGCTCTTATTTTTTGGAGGAACCAAGAATAATAATAATAATAGCTAACATTTGGAATAGCACTTGGGCTTTTAAAAACTATTACCATCCTCATCTTATGGAAAAGGAAATTGAGCCTTAGAGAATGTAAATGACTTTTCCCATAGTCACACATCAGTAAACATCAGAGGCGAGATTTGAATCTCATTTAATTTGGTCCTTATGATAACCCTAGGAAGAAGGTGCTATTATTCCCATTTTACAGATGAGGAAAATAAGGTTAAGGGAAGTTAAGTGACTTGCTCAGGGTCACACAGCTAGGAAATGTCTGAAGTGGGATTCAAATTCCGGTCTTCATGACTCCAAATCTAGCACTGTATACACCACGCCACCCCCAATGAAGAGATATGAGAAAGCATTTCCTTTCACTTCTTTGCAGAGGTGAACTATGGATATGACACATTGTCTGTAATGTCAAACATTTCAGATACGTTGATTGGTCGTGTTGAACTTTTTTTTTCTTTGCTATAAGTGATGGTTTTCTGAGAGGAGAGAAGGATGGGATACACCAGAAAACATAGGTGATATAAAAAACAAAAGAGAGTAATAAAGATAAATGTTTGAAAAACATTGTATGTTCATTGTCCAGAACCAAAATAGCTACATTTGAAGAGGATCATTCTAAAGAGTTCACCACTAAATGATCAAAAGTTGTAGAAGTGATTACTCACCAAAGAAATCAAGAATCCTTAAAGTATTGAAGCATATATATGTATGTTTATATTGTGGGTAGGTTTACATATGCATGTATGTGTATATATATGTATATATGTGTATGTACCTTAATAATGACAGTGATTTTTTCCCAGTCAACCTATGAGATCTCTAATTTACATAAGTGTACTGAATCCTTAAATCTTTGTACTCCAATGTCCTCTATCTCCTAGCCACAGTGTTCTCTCCTTTATCTCCACTCCTCCCCTCTGATGTGTTTGATCAACCACAGGAATAGATCTTCCTCCATGGAGTGAGAAGCATTTTGTTACTGCAGCTAAAATAACTTTAAATAGGAATATAATGTAAGAAGAAGAAAGGTCAATACTCACCCCTGCATAAAACATTTTATTTCTAAAGCGACTGTTGAATTTCTCTGGATTTGCTTCTGTAAAGAAGAAAATGTAAGATTGTTATAATAGTCTTGTTAAAGACAGCTACCCAAGTAGCATTGCTTGTATCTCCAGGAGTTTCACTGCCATCTTTCCCTTAGGCAGGAAGCCATCTGGGTATTCACCCTAGGCATTCTGGTAGTTATCAATCCAGGAAAGAAATAAGGGGAGAAGGGACAGTGGAGAAGGGATGGAGAAATACAAACTGCTCCCAGGGATGTTCTCCCTATGCCGTGGATACATCCTCCAAATAGAATGAAATGTGACAAACCCAGGCAAGACAATAGCGAGGAATTTGTAATGTACCATCTGCTCTCTTGCTTGTGACAGAATTTGTAGCATTCTTTGGTTTAGTGCACACATCAAAGGCACGTGGTCTGATAAACAGATCTCTGGCTTTATATTCAAGTGCTACTGGAAAAGTTTCAGTCTAATCTTGGCCATAGAAAAGAAATAATGAAATATAACTGCCTCTTTTTGACAAAGAGGTGGGGACCACAGGGATAGAGTATAGCATACACTGTCAAAGAATGTCACCATGTCAGTTTTTTGTTTGTTTGCTTGTTAACTGATTTTTCTTTATTGTAAGAAATGCTTGGGGTACAGAGATTTCAAAATGACTGTGGAAAACAAAAGATACAGATAATATTTACTTTTAAGAGAAAAATGTTGATCACATTCTATGAGTTTGAAGGGTTTAAGAAAGAACACCTATCACCCCGATATGCTCTGAGCTTTGAGACTCTCTCATATTCTCTGCTAGGAGTACCAGAAAGAGATGAAGCCAGTATCAGGCACAAAGAATGTTCCCATGAACTGAGAGCACCATAAAATGGCTAAATGAAATGTTACCGAGCTTCCTCCCGGTAACTAAAACGCTAAGACATTCCCAAAGAAGCATCTACCAGCTGTGTGTCTCTCCCTATTTTGGCTCACACTCTCTCTAATCCAGTCTGAGAGCTAGGTCTTTTCTCTAGATCAGTTCCCATTAGTAATCTGACTGGTTGGACACAATCGGAGGTTTGTTGCTATTCTGAATGTTTATTTCCTCTTAATAGCAGATAAATGAAGAGAAACACCCAGGTGTCAGTTCACGAGGTCTTGGCAGGGACTCAACTACAGGGCCTCAGGAAATCTTCCTGGCAGTATCTATTCAAAACCATTAGGATAGAAATACTATCCCATGACCTGGAAACTGACAAAGGATGTCAAATTATCAGAGGGAGCATTATCTGGCATCTATAGTGCAGTTTATAGTTACCGCTGAATGATCTCCATTATTTGTCCTTTCCACAGAGGAAGACATGGAGCCAGGTAACCTCTGATAAAATAAGGAGTCATGGAAAGGCCAGGGACTACAACTGCCTTTTTAAGGAAAAAAAAACTCTCTAGCCCAGGTTAAGTATATTACTTCTCCAATAATTGGTGAAGATAAAAATAATTAACATCTGCCTGGGGCCAAATGGTGCAAGGCTTGGATCTCATTGTCTCTGATATCCTGACCTAATAGCTACTTTCAGGCACAACAGAATGCTATTATTTCAGGCTCCACTATTTCAAAATGTGTGATAATTCAATGTGAATGGGCTGAAGTTAAATTTTGTACTCTTCAGGGGAAAAAAAGCATTCCCTAAGCAAATTAATAATGTAAAGAAGGTTGCAGGGGGAATGTTTAATATACTCAGGAGAACATAGTTTGAGTGTATAACAGAAACCATTTATATACACAAATTAAAATATGAATAATAAATAGTCCTCATTTGTTCACTTAATACAGGTCTAGCAGGAATTCAACTTGGTAATATGTTACTATACATACTTGAAATTTCAAATATATATATATATGTACACGTGTGTGTGTATGTATGTGCATTCTTTAATTCAGAATGGCCTTTTCGATTGGTTCATATTAATGAGGTATTGACCAATACATAAGATGTCCATTCGATGTCTGTTGTCCATTTTAATTCAATTAAAAAAATGCAGCCAGAATTTATTAAGTCCTTACTATGGTCCAGGTACCATGCTAGACACTGAGTCTAAAATATGAAGTCAAAAATAAAACAATGCCTGCCCTCAAGGAGCTTGTATTTAATAGGAGGAAATGATGTGTGCCCAGTCAAGTAAATACAAATTAGTAATAATAACAATGATAATGATAATAATTTAAATGCAAAGGAAACTTGAGGACATCTAGGTATGTCAGGAAACATTTTTTGTAAGAGGTGGAAACTACTCGGGATTCCAAAAGCTATGGGGGAAGAAAAAGAGCCATCCACACATTGGTGACACAACCTACGCAAGGGCATGGAGGCAGATGATGGAGCGACATATTTAGGGAACAACAATAAGTCAGTTTGGCTAGAATATAGAACACATAAGCCACTTACTACCTGGGTGATCTAAGTCATTAAAACTTTCTGGTCACCAGTTCATAAACTATAAAATGGTTTGACTCTAAAGTCCAATGTGTAAGTTCCCATTTAAATCTATGATGCTGAGGGTTTTTTTTTTTTAATCCTGTGAATTATGCGAAATCAGTCTGCAAAGATAGACCAGAGCCAGACTGTGAAGGGATTTTGATGCCAAACAAAGGAATTCACTATTTTATCCTAGAGGCTATAAGAAACAACAGATGCTCCTTGAGTAGAGGAGGGACATGGTCAGACATATGCTTTAAGTCTATCAATTTAGCAGTTGTGCAAAAGATGGACTGGAAAGGGGAGAAATGGGAGGCAAGGAGATCAATTAGGAGGCTGTTGCAATAGTACAAGCAGGAGACGATGACAAGTAATGTGATTTACATGGTGGCAAGAATTTAAATTTATTGTATTGTGTTATGGAAATGCTTGTTTTATTCCCTGAATTAAAAAGAAAATAAATTTTGAAAAATTAAATTTAAAAAATTTTAAATTTAGTTTTAATAAAAGACTATTCTGCATATAAAAGCTATGACTCAGGCTTAGATGACATCTCTGAGACTGGGTTCAAGGCCACCATTGGGTTCAAGGTTACTGATATTTTTTGCAGCAATAAGGCCCCAGCTATAACTTGGGGAAACTAAAATTGTTAAGTAAATGGGGAAGGACTCAGCCAACCGGGCAATGCCCCAGAGTCATTAAAGCCCTGAATGGTGTAAAAATATTTCTTTCTGATGCTTTACATACAATCTGGCCTGAAGCAAGATCTAAAATAGGTCATTTCTGTAGTTCCTTCCAGCCACAGGATTCTCAGCTTCTTTATTTAGAATAAAAAATGAGGAGATTCTCCAAATTAGAGACCAGAACAGGACTGCTTCTAATACTATGGCTCAGTCCTGTAAGGAACTGAGAATTTGCCAGTTTACAATTAGACTCTGGCTCCCTCATGCTAGAATTTCCTGTAAGCCTCCTTTAATTGCTCTTCCATGATCAGAAAATAAGCAGATCTTCCCCTTTATTTTTCTGCCCATCCATCCTTGTCTGGAATGAAAGGGCTACTTGAGTAGTATTTACATTAAAGACAATGTCCCAAGGGGGGCTTTCACTTTGCTAGAAGAGAATGGAGAAAAGGAGACTGGACTCTGAATTCTGCCTTGTCTCCTTATATCATCACCATCATCATCACCATCATCATCATCATCATCATCATCATCATCATCATCATCATCATCATCTACCATCACTATTACCATCATCATTTAACAACAGCAACTAACATTTATATACAACAGTGCTTTACAGTTTGCAAAATGTTTTACAGGTGTTAGCTCACAACATGTAGACAACATGTAGGAGGATCCTATACGATCCTTACAACAACTACCATTCAAGGTAAGTGCCACACCTATTAGGAGGCCTATTACACAGATGAGAAATCTGAGGCTGAGAGGTTTGCCCAAGGTAACATGCATAATAAGTGCCTAAGACCTGGATTCAATCTAGATCTTCCTGACTCTTAGCCCAGTATCTATCACATCCCACCTTATCTAGCTCATGTCATTAGTTATATCACATAGTTAATTTCTCCACCCCTACCCTAAATCCTTTCCTTGAAAGCTTTATCTAGTGCCCTAAAGTCATACTGAGCCCATGGAGAGTAGGCTTTCACCATTATCCTCTTTTCCTCTCCTCACTGTCCGGAATTCTGAGGGGCTATGATATGGAAATTACCCCTAACTGAACTTGAGGGGAGAGAGAGAGAGACAGATGGACAAGCATGTACATGTTAGAGTCCAGGAGTCACTACAAGATAAGCTGGGAGGAGGCTGGAATTTGGTGTTTGAGCAAACAGCCTGAGGAGAAGGGAGCAAAAGGGTAGTAGTAAGGGTAGTAATAATACCAGTTTTCTTCTACAGCTTCAGGTTAACTCTTGAGCTGGGGGTCTAAGAACCAAACTGGGTCTCAAGAGCAGTGAGATTCACAAGTACAACTACCCCTCTACCACCAAAATCTTTTTCATTAGTGATGGAGAGTGATGGTAAAACCAGGAATGAGCAGCAATGTTTGTGGGAACCTGGAGAAGTTCCCTCTCTTTCTGTCTCTCTGTCTGTGTCTGTCTCTCTCTCTCTGTCTCTCTCTCCCTCTCTGTCTCTCTCTCTCTCTGTCTCCCCCCCCCCCCTTCTCTCTCTCTCTCTCTCTCCCCTTTCCGCAATCCTATCCGCAGTTCAATTACAGCCCCCTCTGAAGACAGTAGGACAAACAGTCCCATAACACTTGGCTGGGACAGCACCTAAATCATCTCCTCTACAAAGCCAGCATCAGACACTGTGGAGCAATCTGGCCTTGTGATTGGAATGAAGGGCAAGACTGATGTGGGTGAGAGAAGGAGAAAGTCAGAAGGCTGCTTGTGACCTGTTTTTTTGGGGGGGGTGGGGATTTTGCCCTGAAGAGAAAAGAAAGCCTTGGAGATATATGAATGGTACAACAGAGACAAAGAGAAGAGAAAATATTTAATATCCCCCCACCAACGGCAGTATATTCTACACTTTGTAAAGTGTTCACAAAAACAGAGAAAA